TCACACACACACACACACACACACACACACACACACACTGTCATCTTTGATTACATGACATATTCACAGCTGATGTGAGAACATTGATTTATACTGTAGTGACTCCAGTGCTGTGAACAGGACCATTCATAAATACAGCTGTCAACCTCCAACACTGACGCTGTGAGAACAGCCTTTGAGGATCTTAGAGGTGCTTTTGCGGTTCAGATTCAATTAATGGACTGCACAAGACGTTATGAGCTCAGAAAGTAACTCTTTCAAGAAAACAATGACAGGTCATAATTATGCATGCATATTTCTGCATATAATGACTATACAGTGTTCATTTTTAGCATGGCTCATAACCACCAGTAGCGTAAGTGGCCTGTGATTGTAAACAGGGCTCGAGTCTTCACATAATGATCAAACACAATGACTTTGAGTGCTTTGATATTTCAGGTTTGCAGTTCTACTATTTTATGACAGGACTGATGCAAGATGTCCATCTGAGCAATATGTACACTGACACAAATATTGATTTTTTTTTTTTATTATCTATACTATTACTCATGCTTAGGCGCACATTTCATTTATTTGTTGAGTCATTAAACCCTAACATGCAATGTTTGTATTTCCATAAGCATATGCAGGACGACAATCTGAGCAAATGCTATAAGTCTAAACGGCAGAAGTTGATGTCAGAAGTAGAGTAAGTCTCTCAGGACCGCAGTGAAGTAGGACGCGCACTCAAAAATGACCCATTTCCAAATAAACCCCACATTACCATTACACCATCCTATTTCTCACAATGGAAGAATATATAAACATGAATAGCAGGTAATTAGAAATATCACATTGGAAAGTGTGCTAGTTGTGACTGTAACAGACTCTTTAGCCATGATCCAAAGCAACTGGTACAGTGAATCTCAGAAACCGCATTATTAGAGCTTTATATTTCAATCCACTGTATCTGCCTACATTACTGGTAAACTGTAGAAACACACCTATACATGCATCTCACTGCAGTCCAGCTGAAATAAACACCATCAGCTTTTGTTGCTTTTTACACAAATTATGATTACAGTGGCAGATTATTGATTAATGAAGACTTATTCTTGTGTGGTTACTTGCACAACTTGATGTTTGCATCACATAACCAGCTCCATATGTGTGGCTTTTCTGGCATAGTAAACGTGCTGGGTAGCGCACCCGGTACAGCACTGCACTAGTGATGTGAAGCGCTGAAGTACCGTCAAACACAGGCCATGATGAAAGAGCCCAGAACCTCATAGAAGGAAGCTAAAATTGGCATGATTGCTTCAGCACATGCTTTTTTTCTCACATTTGCTTTATTGTGTTAACAATATTGGTTATCAGTTATTGGATTAGGGTTTAGTGCAGGTGCTTCGTTGTTTTTGTAAATGTGATACATTATTAATCACTACTAATATGCAAGACTTACTTTGAAAGCCATGAACTTGTGATACGGTTTGGGAGCCCAGGCGTAGACCTCCACAGCGCTCCTCAAGGCGATGACCAGGAACTTGATTTTTTCATAGCGAACTGAAATCATCAGCATTATGTGAGTACGGAGAACAAGATCATTGAAAACACCGACTTACAGTTATGACACTGAAATCTGAATCTGCACTATTATCGTGTGTAATTCTGATTGCACTTGATAGATGTTTTTTATCCAGAGTTTCTGCTCATCAGGTAGTCAGTTTGCATTCTCCTCTGGTTTGCTAGATTAAGTTCACTAGGTGTTTCCATGCAGTCTATTATAAGTATAATGTTTAGTATGTTTTTAATGAGTTTACAGTAAAGCTGCTTGAGATGCAGCATACTAATGTTTGTAGCTGAACTCCGTTAAACACGTGGATGTTGTCTTGTTCTGGACTCACCCACTTTATAGCTCACACACCCCTCCAGTTCCCCCACTGACGTCCAGCCCTGTTTCTTCTCCACCTCCGGATCATTACGCAAGATCTTATTCCTCAGCCAGGACAGGTAGTACAGCCTCAGCTTGTTTTTCTTACCTTTCCACAAGAAATCATAAATAGATGACACACATATACACACTAAAGTTTGGAATAATTAAGGTTTGCAATTGGATGAATAACATTGTTGCTTGTAAAGATGGAGTAGTTAACTGCTACAAATGAGAATATTGTGGTAAGAGATGACAATGATTCCATTCATGCAATTATAATCAGTATAATTTACGTTCAACAAGCCATTGAGTATAGGAGTGAGTACGCTTTCATGGCAGATTGTCTCTATGAAGTGAATAATATTGTTGCTTGCGCATGACACTAAACAGTATCATGCATGAGAAAGTAAAGAGTGAGAACGTGTTATGCTTCAAGAAATGTGAGGTCAATTCTTCAAGGACTCTTGCAGGATTTGTACCTTCTTGTATTTGTTCATTCATCTGCTAGTGTAAGTGTAAGAATACTGTAAGAATAGAATAGTTGTGCTGAAGTGCAGTGTGTACCTGATATAGTGATGAGCACGTTGAGCCCCTCCAGCACGTCCATCTGCTGGAAGCGTCTGCGGCTGATGAGAGAGTAAACTTTACCCTGACCACTGCGGTCCAGCAGCCACAGGCCGCTCTCGGTGCCCACCAGCAGATTCACTCCTACACACACACACACACACACACACAGATCCCGGTCACAGGGAGTAAAGACAACAGCACAAATACACCAACTAAAAGAGCATTCACAACCTGCTTTAGACAAAAGAGAAAACACTGAAAAGACTCTTGCTAACAGCATGTTTAGAAAAGAGCTCTCACGTAAAGCACTATGGATGGGATTAGAAATCACTGAATTACAGTTTGTCAGTGGAAGTGTATCATTTAGTTTCTAACTTCTGTATGTCAAATAATTACAATTAATCTGAGCAATCTGTGATTTACGTAATTTCAACTGTGCCAAACCAGCTATTTTTATCTGGAAATTATCAAGCCAACAGTTTGCATTTAATAATAAAGCTGCACCAATGAACGCAACAAGAAATTTAACTTTAGGTACAATATTAGATGAAGGTCAAAATAAATAAGGTAAAGTCGTACAAAAACAAAAAACAAAACACAATCTGTAATCTGGATGTGACCCTATTTCTCAGAGGACCTCTGATTTAGATGAAACAACAGGTATTTTTTACACTGTAATTTCATACAAACATCATATCAGCTGCATTCTGTAATAATCAAACAAAGCGTGCATTAAAGGCACAATATGTAAGTTTTCGCCACTAGAGGTCGCATTTTCAAACCAATAACAAAGGCGAAGCTTGATGACGCTATGAAGGAGGATGTGCACGGATGAGGTATTAATTAATTTTTTTATTACCTGTACCTTCCATAGTTATTCAAACAGCAAATAAATTATACAGAGAAAGCAAACAAAAAACATTTACATTGTCAAAGAACATTATGACTGACTTCAGTCTAGTTTAAGCACTCTTCAAAAACGTACTAACGTAACCTTGGTTCCCTGAGATACGGGAACAAGTACTGCATCTGCTAAGACGCTATGGGGAAAACTCCTTTTTCTCCGAATACTGAAGCCTTTAAATAACGCAGTGTAACTGCACGAGCCTATGGCAACACAGCTCGCCAAAATGGGCAGGGCATCTGGCTATATAAGCGTGCACTCCGCTATAGGATCCTCAGGTTAGGGGGGGTGGTCCGGCAATGGCGAGACTTTGCCCCCTCCTTTTCCTGACCCGCGGATCAGGTTGACGCCTGAGGTGCCAGGTCCAGCACTACCTTGGACCGGGGTCCTTGGCGCTTAGGGAATGGGTAGCATCTAGCCGAGCGGGAGCGATGTCGGGGCTCAGGCTTGGAGGCCGGCAGTGCAGCCGATGATGCGGGCTTCGCGTTTGCTGAGTCGGCGCCGTCTTGGGGCGAGTGGCAGCAGCTGCAGAACTGGAGCGCTTTGGCAAGAAGTGTCGCATTGCCTGGGACGACTTCTGCGCAGCGGTGAAGCGCTCCGCGAACCCTTCCACCGCAGGTCCAAACAGGCCAGAGGGGGAGACCGGTGAGTCGAGGAAGGGGACTTTATCCGCATTTTTGATCTCCATGAGGGTCAACCATAGGTGGTGCTCATGCACCACAAGGCTGGCCATGGATCTGCCGATCGCCTGAGCCGTCATCTTGGTGGCGCGTAAAGCCAGGTCGGTCACGCTGCGCAGCTCCTTGAAAGCTGCGGGGTCCGGTCCAAACTCGTCCATATTCTGGAGAAGTTTGGTCTGAAGGACCTGTAGGACCGCAATAGAGTGAAGCGCTGGGGCCGCTTGTCCAGCAGACAAATAGGCCCTTCCAGTGAGAGCTGAAGTCATCCTACACGGCTTGGATGGGTGGGCGGCCTTCGCCTTCCAGCAGATGCGTGGCCACTGACTCATCCAGGGGAGGTAGTTTGTCATACCCTTTTCCTTCAGCGCCGTCGACCGTTGTGAGGGTGGACGAAGAGGAGGCACGCAGGCAGGCCGAGTAAGGGGCGCACCAAGATCTGGTGATTTCATCATGAACTTCTGGAAAGAATGGTGAAGCTCGTTGTCGAGGGGCTTGACGGCACCCCGGCAAGAACCATTCATCCAGGTGGCTGCGGGTGGGCTCCTCCGGCGGAGACCAATCCAAACCCAGCTCTTGCACAGCTTTAGACAAGACATGGAAAAGTTCGGCGTCCATGCCCGTGCTGGCAGCACTGGGCTCCACAGACGGCAGGGGGCCGGGGTCGAAGGACGAGCCCGACAGCTCCTCCGCATCTGAAGCAGCCAGAGACACACTGTCGTCCATGGCGTTCGCACTCGCTCTCACCGAACGAGACCAGATCGCTTTCAGCCGCAGAAGGATGCAGGTCGGGTGAGAGAACAGGATGGGGGAAGCCTCTCTATGTGGAGAGAGTGAGGCACGCGGGGGCTCAGCCAGTGTGGGCTCACTCATCACCGAGCACCGAGATCCTCTGCCTTGCTGCTTTTTCCTCACAGGCTCCTAGGAGGAAGAAAGTGGGAGGGCGCGAGGGGCGGAGTCGCTTTCTGAAAAGAAAGCTATCCGCGAGCGCAGAGAGGCGAGATTCATATCCTCGCAATGAGGACATTCCATCTCGGTAAGTGCAGCTTCAGCGTGGGCAGTGCCCAAGCATGCAACGCACTCGCCGTGACCATCAGCGGCGTACAGGGGAGCCCTGCACGAGCGACAGTAGCGACATTTACAACAACACAGCTCCGCTGCCAAGCCATTGGTTCATTTTTAATACACTGCACGAACCAATGGCCATGCATTTACACTGCGTTATTGAAAGGCTTCAGTATTCTGAGAAAAACGCAGTACGAGTAAAGTATCAATAGGGAACTCCCCTTATAATCAGTAAAGCTGTCTATACACGGTTTGATAAATGAATCTCTTACTTGCATCATACGTACATCTGCACTTTGTTGTTTATGATGAGAGAATTCGCGTGAGAGCTGAATTCAGTCAGCGAGCAAAAAAACTCATCTGAACGCCTCTGATTGGCCATTGCCTTCATAAGCTCAACAAACTCATGTGTGATTGGTTATAATGCTATGTGAATGTGTCTCACCCCACAGACTGGCACAGAGGATTTCAGCGTTGAACTTCTTTTTGTATTTGCGTATCTCTGGGGCATCGCTCTGAGGACGGATGTTGGTGGGGTTGACGTTCACCACCGAGCCCTTCCTGTGAGGCTGTCTGACGCACGGCTCACACCTGCCATTCACTGACACACAGAGAGAGAGAGAGTTTGTTCATCAGAGAAGTAAACAGATAAGGGGGAACATTGTGCGGATCAAGGGCATGCTCCACATGGAATTTCTTTGAAAGATATTTGCTTTACATGATAATGTGTAGTTACTTTAAGGTATTTTTCAAAGTTTTAAATAATAAAATTTATAAATTATACAAAAATCAAGATCAAAAATCCCATGTTATAAAAGGTGAAGTGCTAAGCAGGCTGTTTAATAGAATATTGGCTGATTAGATGGCAATGCTGACCTAAAATGCAAAATGTTTGCCCTCTCTCTTCAACGTTCCCACATCTCAGACCATAAAATATAACCCTTTTTAGACAGATTTTGAAGTAAAAAAAAACAAAATACAAAACATATTGAAACAACCAGGGGCCAGTTGCATAAACTTAGCCACCATTTTAAGACTGTCTTAAGAACTAGTTTAACCAACTAGCAGTTGCCAAGGGGTAATCAGTCTTACTTTTCCAATACAAATAAGACCAATCTACCTTTTCATAACTGAATTAAAAAAGTTATGACCAGTCTTGAAGAAAAAAAAAAAAAAATAGATGACTAACGTTTTAAGTCTAAACAGTTTATGCAACCAGCCCCAGTTCTTTATTTACCCTTGTAAGGAATGCGGTCCAGACCTCCTCCTGAAGTGGTTTGAGTAATTGAATTTAAATGCGTCTCGAAAGCATTTTGGAGGGCATTTACACCTGGTCTTTTCATGATCAGATAGTTATCCAATCAGAGAAAACGCATTAAAGGCACAATATGTAAGATTTTTTTATTAAAATATCCAAAAACCACTAGAACAGTGTTTTATCACGCTGGCCGTATCCCTGTGGACTCTGAGATGGAGAGAGCAAACGCGGGTCAATGAAAGGTGAGAATGAGGAAGAGGAAGATGACGAGCTTTTTCCTGCCTGGTTACTGAATAATTTCTGTAAATGCAGAATAACACCACAAAGATCAGTTTTACATGATAATACAAGTACAATTTGATTAAGTGAATGACTGATGTGAATTCCCAAAGAAATCTAGAATATTTTTGCATCTATGCGCAAAAACAAAGAACAAATACTTACATAATTATACAATCTTTTGAAATGATAACTGGCTTAAAACAGTCTCACATCAATGTAAATGTATAAAATGCCCAACACAACCCAGATTTACTAACAGCTTTCACCAGCACAAACCCTAGTTTGCCATTAAAACTACTGTCAGGACTTACTAAATATGCACAGTGAAACATTAGTGATGAAAAGGCATGAACATGTTATTTTGACCTTATTGCATGTGCATTTGTAGGAGTTTCCTTTTCAGACACAACATTTATGGGAGGAGAGGATTTAAATCAATCACGCAATGATTTACAAAGGTTTGCTGTAGTCAGTTTACTGGTAGTTTTGTGACATTTGTGTGATTATAACTCTCAAAAAACATCTCTGAACCCATTTGTGTGAGTGTGTGTGTGAGTGTGTGTGTGTGTGTGTGTGTGTGTGTGTGATTAGAGTCGTACGGGGAGCGCGCTCTGCTGGTGCGAGGGGCTCTTGTGCAGCAGGTCGGGCAGAAAGCAGCTGTCGCTGGACTGCGGTCCTGAAGGCCTCTGATGGACGCTATGTGCTGGCTTTGTTTGCTTCCTCATCAATAGTGACATTAAAACACATTTTAGGCTTATTATAAATAAAAAAATGTGCATTGTGTAGAAGTAATACTCCAAATAATGTTTCATTAAAATTTTTGATAACATAACATTTTAAAAAGAATGTATATACAGTCATGTGAATAAGTTAGGACACCCTATTGAATTCCATGGTTTTCTGTATCAGGAGATAATAAAATAAAAAGTCTTACTTATTGAATTTAAAAAAATGGCTTCGGTGTGATATGTCATGTGTTGTTGTTCATCTGAGGTTTTATTTTCCAAATTTTAAGCCCTGGAAAGAACCAGTTATTTATGTCCTGATAAGGAAAACCATGGAAATCAATAGGGTGTCCTAACTTTTTCACATGAGAGTACATTAAAACCGTCTGCTAAAATGACTAAATGTATATCAGTAGGTCTCGAGTTGTCTGTCAGTAAATATGTTAATAGATTTGAACTCTACTTAGTATGAAATGTAAAAACATTAAAAATCGTTCTGATCCCAGACTTTTGACCAGCAGTGTGTATTATTTGTGCCGTCCATCGCTTTATAATCACTCAAAAAGCTGTCACTCAGGTAATCAAGATCTCACAAAGTCATGTGATAATCAATTAAATTCTCAACGCTTCTAACTTAAACGGTACTTCTAACTGATAATAAGCAGAAAATATAACATAAGCAGAAACGTCTGTGATTAACATTGCTCAACGCTGCAAATACATAGAAACCGATCTCCTTGAGCGCAAATCATAACGCACTGGATAGTTCGCCAAATCTGCAACGAAACGCCATTATTACAGATTTCGTTTGAGGGTGCTTACCCCGTAGAACCGGACCTGGCATCAGCAAACACATCAACAAACACTGAGCTCAAATGAAACATCTAAATATGACTGACCAGAACAGCAGATGGTGTGTGTGTGAGTGACTCTCCGTATCTGAAGTGTTCAGTGTTACTGAAGCTCATCACCTGCTCAGCAAACAGACTCACAGCCGCTGATTCAGGATCAGTCCTGTGCTGTTCACCGTCTCTGGGCTGAAACACAGGCACAAACAGCACATCATTACACCAGCGCTGGGAAAACAACAACTAATCACGATAATAATGCTGAATTATCATATCAATAAGTCACATGAACAGAAGCCACACCTGGTCAAAACTGCATTGCTAGGAGAAACACTGATAATTAGTATCAGTGTAAGTCACATTTCATTATTATATTTAAAAATTACGTAAATTACCACTAAATAAAGCCAAACATTTTAAACACTATACATGTGTTTTAGTCCCTCTCAATCCACAGAAACACTTTAATGTTAACCGTATATAGAACAAGAATGAACAACGTAAGTGCAACATAAACAAATTATAGTTGCATCCATATAAACACTTATTATAAACTCCAAACCTAAACAAATTTAACCCTGTAAGGCCCACTGTTGTAATATTACAACATCAGTTTTAGCTCGTCTAAAATAAAGCTGCTCATATATATATATTTTATTTTTTTCTCTAACACCACATTTACACTACTAATATCACCGCGGGGGCGGGGGCATTTTACTTTCACTTTCGAATTAGCGGCAATTCGGCGTCAATTGCTTGAATGCAACAACAAAATACAACGTCAAACTCACTTTAGCGTATATATAAAACATAGAACTTTTATTAACAAAACAAATAAAAATACACCATGCTATAGGACAGGCTATGCCTAATATAAAATAACAAATAACGTACATAAAGTTTAAATGTAGAACACTGGAAACAAGTAAACATGTATAATATATAAACAAATAAATAAGAAAGTAGAACGTTTATTAGCAAAACGAGTAAGAAAGCTTGGACGCACAGCATACACCTTGATGTAAAAATAAATAAATAAATGACACAAAGTTTAAATAAAGTAAAAATCAGCAAACAATGTGGAACCAATTAAATAAGAAACGAATGTTAAAAAAAAACTTCCAAAATCAGATAAACGGCAAAAGTCAACAGGCTTTTCAAAATCCAAAATATTGCCAAACAGGCACTTTTGCATCTAGTTTCGAAACTAAATAATCCGCGATCGTCTTGTCTGTCTCACCTCACTCTTCTTGTCAGTCAGCTCGACTCACTCTCCTCACTGGAGAAATGAAATCTGATCTGTGATGCGACTGTCGTTCGGCACGCTGCATTGAGCAGCCGCGTTCAGTTTTTAATTGTAGTGTCTGTTCTTTTACTGAACTAAATGATTTTTATTACTATAAAAAATCAAAACGACGGTGGGGGTCGGTGACGCGGTGGGCAAGTGACGTAACCGGTGTTGCGGCTTAACACCATCAGCACCGTCTATCGCGGCAAGCCTAAACTGAAGTCACAAACTCTAACCTGTTTCTTGTGGTTTCTTCTGGTTTTCTCGGTAAGGTCAGTCTCTTCCTGCCACATCATCTCCTGGAGCTCCGGCCACTGGAGTCCGGTTTGGTGTAGGAGCCGTTCCTGCTGCTGCACACACACACACACACACCACAGCCGGTCAGACTGAGAACAAGCCTCTCCTCATGTCTACACTTTCAGCAGCTAACTGCATTCACCCTGGCATGCTGCTTCAACGCCATTAGGCTGATTTCCCTCCACTGCTTCAAAAATTTGTAAAGGAAAGTGATAGTTTTGTAAAGAGATTCATATGTTTTGATTCATCTACACAAGTCATTTCAAGCACAAGCTTTCAGACCAAAAGCTTTCGAGAAACACATCCAAATACTGGACTGATAGAGCACACATTCACACACACACAGAATGTGTATTCCACTAAAACATGCAGCGACTGACCCGACACATAACATCACCTGCAGAGCAAACAAACACTAAACGTGATAAAGCTACTGCAGAGTAAAACACAGAGCGTCAGTGAAACATCAGCACTCATTTGATATATGTGACCCTGGAGCACAAAAGCAGTAACATGGACTCTCCGGGAAGATTGACTATAGAGCTGTGTGAGCACAAACACAAGAGCCACGGTCAGTTCTCAAGCCATCTGCCATATGGAGACACACTCACTGACATCTGCTCATCACACAGAGACAACAGCGAGGCCATTCATGCTTACATAACATCTTCAGCTTCATTTTAATACATTGGTTTATTCTGATTTACCTTTCGGTCGCTGTGGCACAAACGTCATCGAGCTGCCTGCTGATCATAAACCAGCTTCACTCTCAGTGATGCACTGGTTCACTAATTCAGATCTCACCTCTCAGGTTTAACATGCAATCCAAACTGATTCTTTGTCCTAATGCACTTTCCTGGTCGGATTATTATCAGTCCAAAGTAGGGCTAAAACGGCGAGTCGACATTATTGACAACGTCGACATTAAAACATTTTCAAGAAATATTTTTGTTGTCGAGTAGTCGTTTAATCTCATATGATCTCAAGTAAGAGCCTGCAATAAAGCGGTTTGACCAGAGTGGCGCTGTAGAGCAAGACTGTAATTCAGAGAAGACACACACACAAACACACACTTCAGAGCAAACGCAGCTGAACCTGAAGCTGCTGAGCGGTGTTTGGATGAATATGTAAATATATGCTACGCTTTCCTCTCGATAACGAAATAAACACAACAAAAACTGACCGCGGTGAGAAAGCAGCAGTTAAGAAAGCATCTGATTACAGCGATGTGGACGTTTGTTCGGTACTCCAGTAAAGTCCAGTCGCGTCACGTTTATTTATATAGTACTTTATGCAATAGATAGCCTTAAATCAAGCAGCTTTACAGCATTAAACATAAAAAACCAGAGTCAGTGTCGCTTTCAGTTAGAATTACAACTTGATTTTCTGTTATAAATCAGCTCTCCAGTGTGGAGCTAGCTAATGATAAAATCTGTTCATTAGTGGGGGAAAAATATTATTTTATTAAAGTGATAGTTTGGTTTGCGGAGATCAAAGCTTGATCTAGCGCAGGACTGTTTTGATTATCATAACCCTGTAAGGTATTTTAACTCTTTCCCTGCCAAACACTGATTTTCCCGTGTTTTCACTGTTATACACTAGAGGGCGCTATTACGCATCTCCTGAATGAGCCTAGAAAGTGCCGATCAAAAACACAGGTGATGAAGCCGCAGAAACAAGTGATCTCATATTTAAGCAGATGCATATGATAAAATAATGTGATTATCAACACTAACTGCATATAAATGAAAACCGCCTAATGTTAGCGAGTGAAATGTGGATGCAGAAAGTGTTATAGACCTGTGCCAGCTTTGGGAGGACTGATGGAAGCCATCGTATTGTAATTACATAATATGATTTTCAAAAGCTGAAGTGATTACCTTTATTTATTTTATTATAACTCAGAATTTAACTAATTTCAAAAGCTGAATAATCACTCAAAGTCTACTGATTAATCTGTGAAAATAATTGACGATTAGTTGATTAATCGGTCAAATAATCGTTAGATTAATCGATTATCAAAATAATCGTTTGTTGCAGCCCTAGTCCAAAGAAAGACGTGACCGAACAGCCCTGAGCAGGGTGAGGAACACTTCCTGTTTTATTTCCACTCGAGCTTTATCCATGTAGCTGTTACATCACACCAGCTAACTCATTAAAATTCATAAATGTTAATATTTAGTCATTATGTTCTTTGTAGCTAGTCTAGAACTGTTACTACTCTTAATGCTGACTCTACAGTCTGAACTGAGAAAGGACGGGAAGTAAAGATGTTTCAAAGCCTCTATTAAGGTTTCATATAGAGATCGGTGTGGTAACACATACCTGGGTTCACCTTCATCTTCATTCATGGCATCTTCTTCATCTTCACTGCCACTGTATTCATATTCCGTCCCCTCTGTTCACAGTGATCATAAATAGAGTTTGAGGCTAATTAGGCCAAACCACGAGCAAACTACACTACCATCTGAACAGTGGATGTGTTTGAATGTAATTTTAATGTGCATCTTCTCAAACCACAGAACATCACCTTTCTCTGGCCTCCTCTTCCTGGTCCTGTCCAGGTGGTCTTTGAGCGTGATGCGCACCTGTCGCTCATTGGGAAGGTCTTTAATGAAGGAGTGGCGCAGGAGCGTCTCTGTGGACGGCCGGTGGAGGTAGTTCTTCACCAGACAGCTGTCTACAAACGTCTGAAACTTCTTAGACCTTCAGGAGCAGTGAAACACAGGTCAGTTATTTTTTACAATCGCTCGGACACATTTCTCAGTGCTTCCGTCACTTTTTCAAAACTCCTCACACCGAGCACAGCATCAGTCTTTGTGGGCTAAACTGTAAATCGTCATTTATCATTGCTTTGGCACAAAATGCATTCATTGACCACATCTGTCAAATTACATGAATTCTTTTCTCACTTCGACACAAACACCACCAAACCTTTATGTGCTACACAAGCCAATTTGCACATTTGCATGCTGTTTTCAAAACTTCAGTTCAAAACCTAGCACAGTACAAAAATGACTAAGACAGAAATCTGCAACATTTCTACAGTAATATCATATAGAAAAATATTCTGAATGTAAAAAATCAAATACTGTTGAAGCAGTTGCATGTAGCTGAACATCTTCACAAGTGTTAGTCTTTCACACTTTCATTACCATCCACACAAAAGGGGAAAACTTAGGAATAATTTTGTACTGCAATGTAAACATGGACCACGTAACATATACTGCAGTGAATTATAAACAGTAGAGAGTATAATTATTGTTTTGTACAGAAATTTTACAAAAGAAAACTTGCTTGTTAGTGTTTTTTAGGTTGTTGTGTTATGAGAGATAAAGTGTGTTGTCCTAGCGATTGTAACAAATGTCTCGGTGGTTCCCCTTCTAGGGAACTCGAGCTGCGTCCTCTAGTGGACACTATGGGGTGTCTGAAGCATGTGTCAAACAGCTTCACTCTAATTGGCCCACGTAGCCTGTGACATCACAGATGGGCGCCCGGAAGTATAAAAGGGCTTCTTTAGAACACGTCATCAACTTAGTTGTCTGAAGGAGACGCGAATAGTACTTGCTTATGGCTTCATTTTTCTTACCTGTCTCACTTCACTTGTTGTAATTGTTTTATTTCCTAGAAGTATTTCAATGTTAAACAGGTGTACAGCGGTATGCGTACAGCATCATGTTCGGTTTTCAACACGCGCTGTTGTATTACGTTATTATGTTATGCTATATCATTAGGAAACTCTATTCATAATAAACTCTATGGCTGTGTGGCAGGTCTGGCTGTAATAAACGGCATTCTCTCACCATTTCTTGGACTTGAGTTTGGGAGGAGGGTTTCGTGGAATGAGGAACAGCGCTCTCATGGGATGCATGTCACACAAGGCTGCAGAGAAATACAGGAATCATACACAAACACGGGATCATATGTAACTTTTATAGAGTGTTTCTGCATATGTAAACTCACGTGGCGCTCCCTCGGCCATCTCTAAAGCGGTGATTCCCAGAGACCACACGTCGCTCTGAAACATGCGTCATCACAGTCACTGATGGAAACATGCTCACTCACTGATGTAGAGTAGTCTACTCACCCTGTAGTCATACGTGGAGTCAGGGTTTTCATCGCACGCGATCACCTCCGGCGCCATCCAGTACGGCGTCCCGATGAACGTGTTTCTTCTGCCAATCGTTCGGTCTAACTGAGCACTGACGCCAAAATCCACTGGAAAAACACATACATCAACAGTGTCTCCTGCCATATATATGCCAGCATATGATACAGGGCGATTCTTCTGTACATGCATATTGCTCTGTGTTTAAAAAAAACATGTATTTTAGTGGATTCTCATTTGTGTAGTTTAAATATTAAAATAACAACAAAAAAAGACAAAAACAGAATGAATATACTAAAACTTTAAAGCTACAGTCCGTAAGTTTTGCCTCTTTGTCGCCATCTCTGTTTGAAACCTGCAATTGCAGCTGTTTGTGGAATTATCTTCATTACGTGGGTTGTGCACCGGCGCGGATGAATCTAATGTTTTGAGGTGAATGTGTGGATCCTGTACTTAGCGATCACAGATTCTAGTCTACGTCTTGGAATATATGACCCAAATAAGCATTTTCACCAGATATCATCTGAATAAGTAAGTAACAAGTCTGCCTCGTTTGTTCTGATCATCTGAGGAAAAAAGCATTACAATAAATCACGCTACAATGGTGATTAAATCTAACGATCGGTTAGCTCCTATCACATCAACTCAGATGCACATTTAAAACTGGAATATAATTTAATTTCAGTCACATGTGTTTCATAAACACATAATCCTTTCTGGATTACAATCCTCCATCAAAATGATAAGTTTAATTATTGCAGCTGCTGTAAGAAAAGGCTAAACGATCCTCCACCTGCAGGATCCTCACATGCGATATAGTCTATTAGCCGGGAAAACTTCTTTATGTTTACAGTCGTGGCATAATTTTACGTCATTTTTAACCAAAAAAAATATGGAAACAGAATTTTTATTTTTTTATCTAATTCAAAATATTAACAAAATGATGATAGCAAATCAATGATACTTAAATAACACTGCTATGTACACAATAATTATAATGTATCTTATGCTTAATTTTTATGTAAGTGTAAAGTAGTTAAAAACTGACTCATATAAAGTGGGTCCTATTTTTATTTTTAAATCGATTGTGCAACATCTTTCATATAAGAAATAAAAAGCTGGCATATAGAAAAATGAAAAGTACCATAGTAAAATGAAATAAGAAGCAATAAGAAAAAAGTAAGCAAAAACAACTAACCATAGCATGTTTGAAGGGTGAGCTTGCACTGCTTCTCAGTGAAACACGCTCATGATCATATCTAGTATTTCTCAGATGCTGGTGATGGATGGAGGTCTTACCCAGTTTGATCTCAGCGTTCTCCGTCAGCAGCACGTTTTGTCCTTTAATATCTCGATGAATCACGTGATGTGAGTGCAGGTGTAACAGACCCTGAGAGAACAGCAGCAAACCACAGTTTACACACACAAACACTGGACAGAAATAAATAAATAAACAGCTGCATTTCAATACTTTTGCACTTTTGATACTTTAAGCTTTGTCTTTCTTTTAATGACGTGCATGCCCTCATCAACTCAACAGTGAAATCAATGCCTATTTTAGCTGCTAAATTAAACATTATTAAACAGTTTCTTACCTCAAATAACAGAAGAGTTAATTGAAGTGTTTTTTGTTTTTGTGCAACATATTATCAACATATTCCACAATTCTGTTGATTCATCTTAACTTCTGGACCCAGAATATCCCTTCAATTTCTAATGTTTGACAGTGAATAGAGCATTTCTAAAACTAATGTCATTTATTATCATTAGGGTTATAAAATCAGTGAAAGAACAAGCTTTATATCTCTGTTACACCAGATGAAATTCCACAATTTTCAGCATGGATTAAATGCATTTGATGAAATGCTGAAGAATGAAAAGCATGATGTACAAAAACACTTCATGGACAGAATGCATTTCATAACACAAGCAACTCCTTTCATGAATGAAAAGCGTGTCTCGTTCACTGATTTCTGTGGATAACATGCATTTGTGACATGCTCTTTGATCTTTGCTGGTTTCTGTTATCCACATTAACTTTCTTTTTCTTTTTTGATGTTTGTGTTTTCTGTTATCCACATAAACTTTAGTGTACTAAATGAAGTGCAGGCTTCATCCAGACATGACATGCAACTGGTTTTTATCTTTCTGGGTATTATGCACATTAAAATATAACTGCATTTTTTCATTAAATACGGCTTTTCGTGTCACGTAATTCGGTTTGACCATGAAAACAGCTTACACTCAGCAGTCATTTAGGATGGATTTCAAAAGACTACAAATCAACAAAGGCCAGTAAAAACAGGCAGAAGGGTGCTTCACTGATCACTCTAGTCCATTTCATTATGAAGAGTACAAACAAATTACGATCCTTGTGTGCCTTATTGGAACAATCATATTGGAAAAATGTAATGTCATTTATTGAACGCGAAAGTAACGGTATCAAAATCTCACGATACAATATTATTGCGATATGAAGTCCACGGTACGATATTTATTGAGATATTTATTAAAAAGAAAAAAGACAAATGAAGAATTAGGGAAAAAATTAAATGATTTTGTTCATTTTAAAGTTAAATTATTCTATCTAATGCACTTTGAAAGAGCTGCAACTCATGTTCTTAACTAAGAAAACTGAAGTCAGAAGAAAGTCAGTGAATTGACTTGTAGCTGAACTTTAAAGAGGACTCAACCCTCTTTTTATTCATGATCATCTGTCTCAGTCTAAATTACATTCATACACACACACTCATACATAATTAGAATATAATAATAATAATAATAACAATGACAGTAATAGCCATATACTGTAAAACAATTGCACTGTAAAATAAATGAAAATGAATATTTCATAGGTATATTAGTTGTGTTTTACACTACAGCAGGGAAATAACAATACTTCTTTCTTAATTTCTACACTTGAGAGAGATATTGTGAATCTGGACTGCATTTAACCCGCTAGCTGTCAGCGATTCATGCTGCACTTTAAGCTTTTATTTTGAAGGAAACTCCAGCTTCAGTGAAAACATGTTCACAAAAACACGTCTGACTACAAATCTAGTGAAACGCTGTAATCATCTGCTGTGAAAATAAAGCCTAACTGGTGGCCGTTGTGTTCCCAAACGTGTGCTAAACTCACAGCAGTGAAATAAAGGAGTGGACTGCATTCATTCAGTGTGAACGAGTCGTTCTGAGACGCGGAAAACACCGGATCACGAGCTGATCGTCTGAACCAAGTGTGTGCTTCGCTTTGAAACACAGCGCAAACAGACTTGATGAAGGGATTAAACATATTATACAATGTGTTTGAGTTCGTTTGACAGATACTGTGCCAAAGCATAATGCCCCAAAACAAATATATTTTAAAAACTACACTTTTTGCCCGGAAGACCTATCGTTTCATATCATCATGTGACTAAGATAATATCGAGACCGTTTTGCTACCGCGATATTGATAATATGGTTACATCCCTCTCATTGAATGAACACACGAGTTGTTTCCACACACTAGGTAAGGTGTATACAGTGCGCTGTAATGTTTTACTCACTCTCAGCACTTCTCTGCAGATGTAGGCGATCCAGTCCTCCTTCAGACAGCTGCCTTTGGTCTTCTTCAGCAGGTCTGTGACTGAGCCGGCGCCGCAGAACTCCATCACCAGCTGACACACAGAGACAGACGCACATTAACCACACCGACGTATCATGCCCATGTCCTGCTGTCTTTGCTCATTCACCTCTTTCTGCTTTTCCTACATGTTGTGAACAGGAATGATCATAAGATTACTACTGTATTTCATAAATACAGGGTTCACATTTTCCATTTCCGACGTTATTTTACATTTTAGCACTATTAAGCTTTATATTTGGTATTATGGTCATCTGTAAATATTTGTATTTTTTCAGGGTTTTTACATTGTTTTTCGCTAAGTGACTTTTGCATGCACACAAGAAACTTGTTTGTGCCTTTGAGAAACTATTCACATGTGCATAGGAATTTTTTGCATGCTTACGCATTACAATTTCTGGTTTTATATAACCTATTTCCTTTGTGCATCACTGCCATCTTACTATGAATCAAATGAGAGCATGGATGCGCACGAGTTAATAGAGATCTACTTGCTCAAAATGTGGCTTTCCTTACGGTAGTACCTCTAATATCAAGGCCTAGTGTCCAATTTAGCTCATCCTCTGCAGCAGCAGAAAAACCATGACACGAAATGGGCTGATGGCATAATGCAGCTGTGTGCATTGTCCTATTTGCCAAGTTCAAGGGTCTATAAAAAAGACTGGAATTGTAAACAAAGTGTTTAAAATGTGGCTTTCGTTAGGGCAGTGTGTCATATTTCAAGGCCTTAGGTCTCTTTAATGCATAGCCAAGAAACCACACCGTTAAATGTTAGTACAACACATGGCTCAGTGTGCACTGTCCGATATGTTAACTTTAATGGATTTCCGTGCACATATAAAAGTCTGTATATTTTTTTATTTTTGCAAAGGGTCCTCGAGGCCATGTCATATGGTGCTAAGAATATCGTGAGAACAAACCCAAAACGCAAAACATTTTGCATAATTAAAAAGTGCACCTTGAATTCATTCAGTCGTGTTTGACAGTCACTAAAGACACTACTTATTTATTAGAATACAAGATCAAAAACAATGATAACAGCAACTATTTTATTTTTGTGGCAGGGCCAGTAGAAAAAAATCCTTAGCGTTGATCCCCGAAATCCCACATTTCTGCCACAATACCATGCTTTCAGTTAGTGTTACTACAGTAAATCCATGGTAAAGTTGGTGATTTGCGGATCATTGTGGCACGATGTTTGAGCATCAGTGTTGTTGAGAATGTCAGCGTTGGTTCGTTAAACTGGTTTAACTCACAGAGACATCTGGGTCTGTGACAGAACTCACATGCAATAAAAGAGCACACAAAATGTGATCATTTAGTGTCAGTCTGGAGCTCTGCACAAGTCCAGAAAACACACATTCAGGTTCAGCGTACTGGCAAAACCACGCTTGAGTGTTCGGGTGAACTGTCCCTTTAAGATGACCAGACAGCTCATAACAGAAGTGAGCACAGCAGAAGCTGGAGGCTGGTCTTGTTGTGTTTCTTTCGCTCACTCACCCACAGCTGGTCATCCTGACCCGCAGGACTCTTCTTCACAAAAGCACCGTAGTACGTGGCTATGTTCCTGTGATGGGAGTGAGTCTTCAGCATGTTAATCTCCAGCTTGATTTCATCCTCCTCGTCCTGCAGAAGACACGTGTGTGAGATGCCACAGCACAGTTAAAGCAGATCAGTGAGCAGTGGTGCAAACTCATTTTCAGGGAGCGTTGCTAAAGGCAGGACAACGTGTTGCTTAAAAGCTGCTAAATGACGTTGTGATGACATTGCGAGAAATGCAGATCACTCGAATCTCAGCAAAAATATGATTATGTTCATTTAGATGTGTTAGTAAAACTAAAAAAATAAATATAATAATGTTAAAATATAAATAATATATTTATTTTTACATACAGCATTGAATTATTGAATTATTGAACATTTACACATTTCTGAACAATTCTATTTTTAAGCAGTGTATTGGTAGTTAGTTAGTATGCTACACTTTAAGAAAGGTCTGTAAAACGGGACACAATGTACTGCGTTAATTTGAGATTTGTAACAGCTTTTTTACTTGTACCTTTTCCATTTTTATAGATATTTTTTAACTGATCAACAAGTGCAGGTACAAACTAACAAGGTGTTATTATTATTATTATTTTTTGCTCAATGATCACAATGGTGAATATTAATCACAGTTGTTGTCATTCATCAGAATTATTGCACATGCAATCCTGAATCAAAATGACATTTATCTGACCTCATCTAGTTTCCTGAGTTATTATATTCATCAGAATAAAGAATTGAGTTGAATTACTGAAATAAATGAACTTTTCCACGACATTCTAATTTATTGAGATGCACCTGTAGATCTATCGCACAACAGAACGCAGATCTACACGTAAGAATGATGTTAAAACTAGTTCAAAAACATGTTTTTTTAAAGGAATATCAAGTCTTTTCTGTCCATGCTTGACAGGAGCCTCTGTTGTGCATCACTTTGTTTACCAAAAGAATGAAAGGAATCGTTCACGTTTCATTTGACTACTACATCTTGAAAGATTGATTCAATTGTTAAAATGGTATGCATTCATTCGATTACCAACATTTTTGATAATAAAATTACAATTACAAATCAAAAAACACAGAATCCAGAAAACAACACAGGATTTCTGAAAAAAATAAATAAAATAAAATAAAAAATGTCTTAGGGCACTATTATTGCTAAAACTTTAATACATTTTTAAATTGTTAACATGTTGACTGTTTAGTTGAAGTTGAATTAAACTATTAAAATGGAATACAGAAATATTGAAGCGGAACATGAAGCAGATTTAGGGCCCTAGATTTGCTTGTGTTCTTTGGGAAAACAGTGATTTTGTTTTATGTTTTTAAAGAATTCTCTTCATGCTCACCAGGCCTGCATTTATTTGATCTAAAGTACAGCAAAAGCAGTAATACATTGTGAAATATTTTTATTAATTAATATATTTGAATATATTTTAAAATGTAATTTATTCCTGTGATTTCAAAGCTGAATTTTCAGCATCATTACTCCAGTCACATGATCTTCAGAAATCGTTCTGATATGCTGCTCAAAAAAAACATTTTTATTATGTAATTATATAGTATGTCGAAAACAGCTGAGTAGTATTTTTCAGGTTTCTTTGATGAATAGAAAGTTCAGAAGAACAGCATTTATCTGAAATACAAAGCTTTTGTAACATTATAAATGTCTTTATCATCACTTTTGATCAATTTAGAGCATCCTTGCTAAATAAAATTGTTAATTTCTATAATAACACCCCCTCCCCCCCCAAAAAAAATCTATTTATACTGACTCCAAGCTTTTGAATGTAGAGAGTATAATGTTACAAAAGCTTTGTATTTCAGATAAATGCTGATCTTTGGATCTTTCTACTCATCAAAGAATCCTGAAAAAATTTACTCATCTGTTTTAAATATTAATAATAGTAATAATCAGAAATTTTTCTTGAGCATCAAATCAGCATATTAGAATGATTTCTGAAGATCATGTGACACTGAAGACTGGAGTAATGATGCTGAAATTATATTTCACAATATTACTGCTTTTGCTGTATTTCTGATCAAATAAATGCAGGCTTGGCGAGCAGAAGAGACTTCTTTAAGAAAGAAACATTAAGAATCTAACTGTTGAGAAAGGTGTTTTGATGCTCTGGTCTCAGACGGCATGTGAAGCGCTCGTCTGTACGGCACACATGCAGGGCCGCATTACCTCAATGGGCCCCGGGGCTATGACTTACTGCAGGGCCCCCCCGTCACAATAATGATATAGCTTAACATAGGATTTTTATCCAATCAAAGTTTCATAATTCAAGTTACCAATTCCAATATCTCAAAATAAAAATAAAAAAATACTAGCCTATGTAAAAACAAACTTACTGAAGACAAGTAAACAGTCATGAATTACAATAGAACAAAGAAATTGACCTACAAACACTTAAAGCACTGAATAAGAAATATATTGTATAAAATAAATAGACTACAAATAGACTGAATAGTCTTCACTGCATTAATTCAATATACATTATTTTACAAAAGCGATTCGGTCAAGGACAGTGAGTGATTTTCTTTCTAATGTTTAATTTACATTATTGACATAAACAGCAACAGCAGCTATATTAGACTGCTTTGGAGGAATAGTTCACCCAAAAATTAAAGTTATATTGTTGTTGTTCTAAACCTGAATGAGTTTCCTTCTGCTGTTGAATGCAAACGTATATATTTGGAGCAATACTGGTAACCAAACAGTGTCTGTGCCTCCATGACTTCCATAGTATGGAGAGAAAAACAACACTATTGGAGTCAACAGGGACCAGAAACTTTCTGGTGGTTACGAATATTCTTCAAAATATCTTCTTTTATGTTGAGGAGAACAAAGAAATTCATACAGGTTCAGAACAACTTGAGTGAACTATATCAATTTTAAATCTCATCATATAATGCCAGGATGTCATATAGCCAGCTAGTGCACATGCTTTATCTTTAACTATTAACGTTCATTTAAGACACAAATAACTGTGTTGACGAGGAGACAGGCATTTTGACACATAACTATGTGTATTCGAACGTTTAAACACAAGGCACGAAAAATAACTCTTAGTTTAGTCAGGCGCTGTATGAGCAAGTATCAGAAACTGTCTTAACGCGCACGTTTACCTAAATGAATTCTGCCACTGCTTAATGTCCCTGAACAGTTAAATTAGTTTTTAAACCAAAATGCTTAAAATGCGTTTAAATGAAAAGCTTACATCATGACGCGTAAAATTTATTTCTCAACCCATAAGCGAATATACTAGGCCTATAGAGTTTGTTCAAACACAAAAAGCACTATAGCTACATCTATAGTATATAGATTTTATTTTATTTTATTTAGATGTTTTCCCCTCTCTCCTCATTTTTTTCTCTTACAATTTTTTTTTTTTTTTTTAGAATAGTTGACATTTTTACTTATCGAAGACTGTTCTTTGCATGATCATTTCTAGATTACACCAGAATGAAGTGAAGAGAGGTGAATGCAGACATTAGGCGCAGCGATCACCTGATAGATAGGCTACGTGCACAGTTCGTTCAAAAGTAAAATATATAATAAATGCATTTGATTGGTAAAACAAATTCAAATGTGACGTTTTAATCTCTAATGGTAATGCATGGAATTTACGGAAAACTCCACTAAATAATAACGCTAAAAAGTGAGGGGCGTGGTGAGGCTTTGGCGATCGGCTACCGATGTCCGTCAAGCTACTCCACAGCCAATCACGGATGGTTAATGCGGCCCTGCACACATGATGAGGACAGATCACTCATCCATTCTTTCTCCTCATCCACTGATGCCTCACTGGCTCACATGAACACAGCAATGAACCGCTGAGACGCTGAGGAAAGAAGTGTCTGATGATGTTGAGAGTACGAGAGGAGAGAGAGGAAGACTGCTCCAGAGCCACAGATGCAGTGCAGGCTCTATATGCTGATTAACCAGACGCATGCCACAGGAGTCCAGACACGAGACAGACACCTCACACCTTCAGACTCCTGTGATGCTTCACCACACTGCAGTTTATGCTTATTCTTTTTACATGTGTAATATATGCTTCTGTCTGATGAGCTTGAGTGTTGCAGGACTCAGAAACACAAGCCAAGCGATGCAACTAACGCAGAGACATGAACTCAGACATAAACTCGGTTTGACCATAAATCCTGATAAAATTCCCCACGGGTAGTATTATCGTTTCATATTTTAATGATCATTAAATCCGTATCCGATTACCGCGATTCAAACAACAGAGGATAAATAAATACTGTCCAGCATAAAGCAGGGTTTTACAGGTGCACACAGCAGCAGAGTAGTTTGGATTTGTGTGAAAACGGTGGAAAAGCTGTGAGGGTTTAAAGAGTGCTGAGGGAATTATACAAATGAATATATGAATGAATTAATTATATGAATGCACCTCTGAAGATTCAATGGCATTTTGTTTTCATCTTCACTTCATGTAACACCTAATAAACTAGTGTTGTTTACGGTAAACCGCTGTACTTCTGCTGCTCCATCAGCGCCCCCTGCTGTCAGAGAGTGGAGCTACAGAGACTCACATTCACATTCAGTCTGTGTGCAGCTTCTGTCTGGACATAAAACAGACCGGATTTACATGCTCTGCTGTCATTTATGACCGGCTGATGAAAAACAAGCTTATGTGGATTCTACACATTTAAACAATTCAGATAAGCTATCCAGAATTATTTATGGAGCAGATAAAATACATCATTTATTAATCAATTATCATTTTGTCTTAACACTTTTCTTTATTTAAAGGCTGAAATGTGAGGTTTACAATTTTATGAAACTTTTCCAAAGTTTTATTTTAAAAATTCCGCACATGCTATTAGATACACTGTTGTCATTTAAAATCCAGACATCATTGCTAATGTTATTGTTTTAGTGTTTATGCAAAAAAAAAAATAATAATAATAAAAAAAAATTTATTTGTTTGTTGGTTTTAAATATCAAACTTTTTGAACATTTCCGGCACATTTTAACAATACCGTGATAATACTGATAACAGTGATAATTTTGGTCACTATAGCCTAATCGTGATAAGAAATGTTCA